CTCTCTCTCTCTCTCTCTCTCTCTCTCTCTCTCTCTCTCTCTCTCTCTCTCACACACACACACACACACAAGGTTGGTGTGAGTAAAAGCCGACCACTTTTCTCAGGGATATGAGTAACTCTGGGCGACGTGGTGAGTCCTTATCCATCAGTCGAATGCGGTCTGGGCAGACTGTCCCGATTCAAACTCCTGACTGAGGAGTCTGTGAAAGTCCGACGAAACCGTCTGGCACAATCATGCTTTTCTTTGAGTCGAGTCGTCATAAATAGCGAATATGACGACACACACACGCACACAATTACAGTTATTATAGATCAATCAGAAATCAGATCAAGATTTTCACATAGCTTATCCGTCGACTAATTAATTTTGGAAAAAACGAGGGCATACTCGCACTACCGTAGTACTTTCAGAAAAATGAATCTGACTGCAATTACGACCTGACCTCGATGAGCCTGACCTCAATCGAGATGCCACTGATCTTAGTAGAGAACCTTCTAGTGTGCGTGTTCATCGAGGTCAGGTCGTAATTGCCGTCAGATTCCCCTTCTAGTGTGCGTGTTCATTCCCCCGGTTCGGCTAATACGGTTGAGCGCCAAAGTTCACAAGCCTTCGTCGCTCCGAGTCACCGAAGTCGCCAAAGTTCAATGAACCTGACCGCAATCCGTAAGAAATGCTGTAAGATTGGGATGACCAAAGTAAAGTTGTTGAGCATCAGCAACTGCATCGATGCTGTTTGCGCCCTCGCGCAAGCCTTCCTAAAATAGCACGACGAGGAGGAGGAGGAGGAGGAGGAGGAGGAGGAGGAGGAGGAGGAGATGAAGGGAGGATGAAGTCACAGTACAGTTAACGCGTTCTCGTGACGAATTAACAAGAAAAAAAAGAAAAAAGAAAAAAAGAGAAGAAATTGGAAAAAAAAATAATAATAAGAAAAAACAGCACTCAGAGACCAAAAAGTGGCCAGAAAAGAACGAAAAACAATACAATGCGCTGAGACGGATATGACACAATCGCCTTCCGAGGGGGCGGAAGCGAGGCCAAGAGGGGTGCGGGAGAGGGGGAGAGGGGGAGAGGGGGGGAAGATTAAACTCCTTTGAACGCTCTCTGAAGCATCAGCAGACTGAACCCTTACTCGACTGTCATCATCCCCTTTGCACCATCTCAACACACTGTTCAATCAGCCTGAACCCGAATGACAGGTACAACGCGCCCACCATCATTACCGTGACAACTGCAACTACCTGAAAGCCTAGCTGACGTGGCGATCAGTCTAGCTGACGTGGCGATCAGTCTAGATGACGTGGCGATCAGTCTAGATGACGTGGCGATTAGTCTAGCTGATGCGTCAAACAGCCTAGCTGCCTAGCTGACGTGGCGAACAACCTGGCTGACGTGGACGTCAGTATCCAGGACGCACACGATGCACACACTTCACGCTAATTATCCCCTCCACTCAAGGGTGGAGGAGCAAACTGCGGCAGGGAGAAAGGGGAGAGGCGGGAACCCCAAATCTTTTGAGGGTGGGCGAGCGGAGAAGGACAAGACTAGGCTCTCTCTCTCTCTCTCTCTCTCTCTCTCTCTCTCTCTCTCTCTCTCTCTCTCTCTCTCTCTCTCTCTCTCTCTCTCTCTCT